GGGACCTACTATGTGCCAGGAACTGTATGTCCATCACGTTGGTGGTTGGTTCGCCACCTGTTCCAGCCTCTGAGCAGAATGGGGCTCAGTCCTTTGGTAAGCAGGTAAATGGGTGAGGAGAACTCAACCTGAGAAGCGTCAAGGGGACTGGGGACAGCGACTGCGAAGTGTTGTCTTTTGACAAGTATGTCTCTGAACATAACAGGGAACTGGTGGGGTGACAGTGAAGGACAGGAGAACTGTGCGGCTTCTCCTGGCAGCTGGCCTTTAAGAGGTTCCGCAACTGTGGGTTGTGAAAGAACTTGGTAGATCCCCTTCTTAGAATAGCTGTGAGTAACGATTCGGCTTCCCCCACTTTTTTTTTCCTTTTGAATATTCTTCTACAAATATAAACAAAAGCCGGGTGTGAGAGCACATGGCTGTCATCCCAGCGGCTTGGGAGGCTGAGGCCGGAGGATTGCAAGTTCAAAGCCAGCCTCAGCAACTTGGTGAGGCCCTAGGCAACTTAGGAAGACCCTGTCTCAAAATAAAAAATAAAATAAAAAGGGGCTGAGGATGTGGCTCAGTGGTAAAGTGCACCTGGGTCCCATGAAGGACCTCTGGCCTCTCTGCTAAGCCTCCTGTAAAGTGACTCAGGCGTATTGAAGGTCAGACTTCACTTCCTGCCATGAGCCACCTGCATGGCACGGAGTGGCATCCTCCTTTTACGGATGCAGAAACAGAGCTGCAGGCAGGTTGGTGAACTCTGCCCAAGATCACTCAACTGGTGAAGCAGAAGAATCAGAGTCAAGCTCAAGTTCGCCCAACTGAAAAGCCGGTGAGCTTTTCCCAGCCAGACAACTGGACCCTGATATGATCATGAGATAACTGTGACCCTTTTCCTTCCCCCTACACCCCACAATGCCATCCCCAGCTCCCCGTCCCCGCCCCGACTCCACAGATGGGAAAGAGCTCACTGGCTCCTGGAAGTGGCCTCTATGCCATTTTTATTGTGCAACTCTCTGTACATGATCTTTGTTCTTCTCAGTGCATCTGCGCAGTCCACGAGACCCCGAGGGCAGGGGCTTGTCACCGCACCGTCCTCCACGGAAGGCTTAGCTGGCTTGTAGACAGTTTCTAGAGGAGAAGCCAGCTGGGGACCATGCCTCTGTCTACCTCATTTCTGTCCTTCCCTGGGATTTCCCCAGGAGCAGAAAGTGAGCATAGGATTCGTGGGTGGCAGTGGGGGTGGGGAGGTCCAAGGGACAGGGAAGACAAGACAGTGTCAAATCAATCCCAGGGCAGTAGGGGAGGGCTCAGGAGGGGATGGAGGGTGGCAGTGTCTCGGGTGTGGGACACAGGGGGCTGTGCCATCCTGGATGGGTGCATAGGTGAATTTCCCGGGTGGGAAGGAGAATGGAAAAAGATCAGGAGGGTCAGGGTTACCACTCCTGGGAAGGAAAATGGCTCTGAACCAGACAGACACAGGTTCTCCTCAGTGATTGTGTGTGTGTGTGTGTGTGTGTGTGTGTGTGTGTGTAGGGAGATTAAAAAAGGTCCTGTGACTTAGCAGCTGAACAGCTGCAGCTGGGGACACCCTGGGGTTTCCTTGGCCGCATTGGCTCTGGGCACATCCAACGCAGCCTGTGTCCTGCTGTCAGTGCTTGAGGGTCACATAGTCCACATCTTCTGGTGCCCGAGGCCGCTCCCCAGTCCCAAAATGAACGAGCTCCGAGTAATGAATCCCGTCATCTTCTGGAAGATTTGGAGCCACGTTCTCGTAGTCACCCTGGGAAAGCCACACGGGGGTAAGCCTGGCCTTGCCATGGGGGCCAGCCTCCCTCCACCTCCCCCCTTTTCCCTTGTTCCACTCGGGGAGGGAGGTCTAAAAGCCCACACAAGAGTCCCCTTGCCCAGAAACTGGCTGTTTTTGGCCTTTGGACACAGAGGTCCCTACCCTGGCTCCACCCATGTGTCCCCCAGATTTTGCATAGGAAATTCAATCCCCAGATTTGTATGCTAATGGTGTGTGGAGGTGTGAGCTTTGAGAGGTGATTGGATTAATGGGTTGATGGGTGACTGAGAGAGTGGCTTTGTCATAAAATGAGTTCTCTCTGGCATGCACCCCCCCCTTGCTGAGCAATGCCTGGTGCCACCTCAGAACTTTGCAGAGAATCCCCATCAGCAAGATGGCGCTCACCAGATGTTGTCCCTTGACCTTGGATCTCCAGAACCAAAATAAATCCTTTTCCTTTATAAATTTCCCTGTCTCGGGTATTGGGTGATCGCAACAGAAAACAGACTAAGGCCACAAACCTCCCCCAGCCAACATCTAGCTTTGGCCACACTGACATCTACCCAAGTCCTTCCCCTGTGGGGCTCCCAGCTGAGACCAGGACCCAGGCCCCCCAACCTTCTTAGCCTTGGCCTCTTACCACATGACACCTCTGCACCACTGAGTAAGTGTCTTCATTATTTGGGAGAGGTCCTTGTGTTTCTGAGGGGCCTGTACCTCTAAGAGGGAGAACAGATGGAGAGCCATCAATGAAGTGCTTCCTGTGAACTCTCTTCCTTCTCCCGACTCCCTTAGTCCCCCCAGCAGCACCCCAACCTCAGCCCTTTTTGGAAAACACAAACTCGCTGTCTTCCAAGAGCCCCATGCACACAGTAGGGGCTAATAAAAAAACGTGTGCCGGATGAATGAGCATGCATGGGTATGAGTCACCGCGCCTTAGCCTCCGTGACAAAGGTTGGCTCTGGGCACACATGCTCTTGGCTTGTAGAAACAGGTCCCCGTTGTGGGGCCTGTTACCTAACAGAGGTTGTTATAGAACAGGAATGAGGTAATAGGTAGATGGTGTCAGGAGGTGCCTGACACAAAGAGCTAGTCCACTATTTTCCCCCCTACATCCCTCCCAGGCTGCAAGACCCACCCGTCCTGTACCCTCAGTACCCAGTTCCTGGTGTGTCAGTCTCCGGAAAGCGCAGAGTAGCATAATTAATGCTGTCTTCCATCATCGGATTGTAGCATCCCAGGGAGTGGGGCCCTTCAGAGAGAAGGGTCCTTCTAACCTGGGAGAGGGGCAGGGTTGCAGTTCTGAGTGTCTCTCCCCACCCTCCCCCAGCCTCTGACCCCACAGAGGACATTTTTTTGGTACCAGGGATTGAACTCAGGGGTACTCGGCCACTGAGCCATATCCCCAGCCCTGTTTTGTATTTTATTTAGAGACAGGGTCTCGCTGAGTTGCTTAGTGCTCGATTTTGCTGAGGCTGGCTTTGATCCTCCTGCCTCAGCCTCCCGAGCCACTGGGATTACAGGTGTGCACCACCACGCCCGGCCCCAGAGGACTTTTGATCACTTTTCTTTAGCTCTTCACCTCGGTTCCTCACTCCACTTTAAGGGCTGCCCTGCATTTGATCTTCCTCCCATCCTACCTTTTTATTCCTCACAAAGAAGCTCCGACCATTGGAATTTTCCTGAGGCCCCTGTTGGCTCCGAGTCCTCTTCCAGCTAAGGAGAAGAGACGGGCTTGGTGGGGGTCAGGGAATGAGAACAGGACCCTGTGGATTCAGGAGACTGGAGGCTTTGGGACTGAGTAACTGGAAGTGGGATGAGCCCGGGGAGGGGGCAGCAGGAAGAGCTCACTTTTGCTGAAGCTTCACCCCCCAGATGACCAGGATGAGGATGGCCAGGCAGATGCCAATTCCCATGGTCGTTCGCCTGGCGATGGTCTCCGGGCTATCTAGTAGAGAAAAGAGTCACAGGTTCGCTCTGCACTCCAGCATCCTTGACTTATCTCTGTATCCAGCCCCCGTTCTTCTTCCCAGCACATCTCCTCTGTGCATGGGAGAGTGAGGCAAGAAAGATGGAGAAGGGCCCTTGGTTAGGAAAAGGATCTCTGGTTAGGAGGAAAGCGCTGTCTTTCTCCCAAGCAGGAGTTTAATGCAGGCCTGGCCCTCACAGAGTGCAGCATCCTCAGCTTTCTAAACAAGTACAACTTTCCAGGCGTTTTGGACACACTATCAGCCCTTAAAACACACTGGTTCTTCGACTCAGCAATTCCACCTAGGCATTTGTATCTTGTGCCTGTCCTTGTAGGCGTGCCCAAAACAAGGGTCTACCTGCTCAGCCTTGAAGAGGGGGCTGGGGAAACTAAATGGGCAGCATCCATTCAGGGGACACAGTGCCACCCTTAGAAAAAGAGGAAAGTCTCAAGTTGTCCAAAAAAGTGGAGACCCAGGGCATGGCGTTTCTATGCAACGCGCCAGTTACATTTCCTGAGAGAGGGACCGAGCAGGAGCTCACGAAGCCTGGAAGATAGGTGCAGCCTGAGGGAATCCTGAACAAAGGATTCCCTGTCCAGAAGGGGAGGTAGATGGAGAGGCTCCTGTGAAGCAGGACAAGGCGATTGCTCCAGCGGTGGCAGCAGGAAGCTATGGAGCAGGGAGTGTAGCTGGGCTGCACTGGGCAGGAACTGGGAGGGAGGAAGCGGACTATAAAGACTGTGATCTAGCAGCAAAGACTTAGTGGTGGGAGGAGCTTCAAGCGCAGTCAGCACCAGAAAGGAGCCTGAGAAGAAACAGAAAGGGGCCTTACAGTAGATGGTGAGGGTGCTGGGGGGTGACTCGCCCTCGCCCAGCTTGTTGACCCCCTTGCACCAGTAGGAGCCCGAGTGCTCGACCTTCACAGGATCCAAGCTCAGCGTCTGGCCAGAATACTGGAGGTCTTGGTTATTCCAGTCAAACCAGGTGTACTGTGAGATGGGAGGGTTGGCATCGCTCTCACATGTCAGGGCTGCCTTTCTCCCTTCCATCACTCTGTCTCCCGGGGTAATGGACACCCACAGCCTCCGAGGTGCATCTGAAAGGGGGAAACAAGTCAGGGTCCAGGCAGCTGGTCTCCGGGTCTCTGCTGGTCTCCACTCTCAGCCTCCAGCACCAGCCACTCACATAGCACTTGCAGCCTCCAGGCCTCAGATGCTGACTGTCCTATGGAGTTTTGGACCAAGCAGCTGTAATTTCCAGCATCTTCCGGGGAGACGGAGTCAAAGTTCAGTTCTCTTCCTTTTGCTTCCAGAAGACTTCCGTTTTTCTTCCAGAAGAAGTGGACTTCTTCCGGGTGGCTCTTTGAGAAGTGGCACTGAAGTCGGACCTGGTTCCCAGCACGAATCTCTGACAGGGAACTGATCTGCAGGACCTTCACCTCCTTGGGAGCATCTGCAGGGCCAGGGCTCATGCTGACCTCTCAGATCTCTTCTCCCTCTGTTGTCTCCAGTACTTCCCGTCCCCTTGGTCTCAAGGCCTATCTCCCACCCCTCAATTCTCTGTTGAAGACTGTGACCCAGGTCCCACCTCCTCGCCCTTCCATCCCAGATCCCGTGGGGCCACCTCCCAGGTCCCCCCACCCTGTCACTCACACTGGACATCCAGGTCGATGGGAGAAGCTGGCGAACACCACTGGTTACAGGCGGAACAGGAGATGGATGGGGTGTCCCAGGCAACGTTCTGAATCTTCATCACCTCGTGGGATGGCTCATTCCACAAGCGTTGGGGGCTCCACTCATACCGGGTAACTGTTGGGTTACTGGAGTTGTACCTACAGCGCAGGGTCACGCTGTCTCCTTCTCGAATCGGTGTGGGGCTCTCAATCACAGTGGTTACCCCCTTGGGGACATCTGGGAGTAGACCAGAGAGGTGAATAAAGTAAGGCCAAGCCATAATGCCTCTTCCTGACTGAATCCCCGAGCCACCTGCCCTTGTATTCACACAGCTGCTCCGTGGGGGGGGAAATCCCTGCTTCTCTGTTGCACCTGTGTCTATTTGATCCTGCCACAGAAAGTTGTGTGGCTGCGGCTGCAGGCCTCGGTGTGCCCCTCCTGTCCAATGGGGTCCTGAGAAGATCACACCTTGCAGAATTCTCTCAAGGATGAGCTAAGAGGATGCCTTAGAGCAGTGCTCAGTAAACCACCAATCAATGCCAGGGATGCCGCTGTTATTGCATATCCTGCCTGCCTAGAGTTTGGAGATCCCTATCCATCAATGTGACATTTCAGGGCCCACAGATCTCATGATCTCAGTGACTCAACTTCTCCAGTGCAACCCTTAGAAAAGAGGTAAAAGAAGTTCTACCGATGGAGAGGTAATGAGACACTTGCTCCAGTTCTTGAAACTTTCAGGACCTTTTCTGGGACCGAGCTGCTGCCTGGCGCCAAGTCTCTCTGTTCCTGGTGGAGCCCAGCATCGGTTATGCATTCATTCAACAAACATCTGAGCACCTGCCAAGACTCAGGCCTTGAGCTAGGTAGATGCTGGGAACACAAGTGTGATCCCTGAGAAGCTTGTGTTGGAAGAGCCTGGCTTCTGCCTGTTCTCCATTCTAGGACCCGGGGACCCCCTCTGCCCCCTCTGTCTTCCTCCTCCCCCTACTTTCCTCTTCTCTCCCAAGAACCAGAGGCTCCATGACTGCTCACATTGGACGTCCAGCTCGGCTTCCTGGCCAACCTGTCCAGAACCAAGCCTGTTCTCTGCCACGCAGGCGTAATGCCCTGCATGCCAAGTAAGGACCTGGGCGATCCAGTATTTCTCTTCTGTCACTCCTGGCACTTCCTTCCCATTGTGATACCAGGTATAATTTGTTGGAGGAGGGTTGGCCGGGGACGTGCAAACCAGCTCTACTGACTGTCCCTCCTTAGCAGGTGTGTGGTGGATGTAAACCTCGGAAACTGTCGGGGGATCTGGAAGAAGGGGCAGAGGTGAGGCGAGAGGTGAGGGGAACCCTGTGACATGAGCAAGCAGCCACTGTCACCTCCACCCTCAGCTCCGCGGAGGCTCACACAGCACTTTGAGGGCCACTTCTTCCGACATTCCTAAGCCTATGTCATTGGAGGCCTGACAGCGGTACTTCCCACCACTGTCCTTGGTCACTGAGGACAGAGTTAGC